CAAAAACAAATAAAAATAAAAATATGCCATAGATGACCGCAGTAGAAATGCAGTCTCTGCCAGGGTGGACATGGGACTTGGCTGGTGCCCTTTTCCATCCAGACCATGAAGAAACCCCACGGTCACTCAGGGCCCCTACTCCTCCCATTCAACAATGAACCCTGCCCTCCACGGAGCCGGCCTCTGCCCAGCCTGATTGAACCTGCACTCCTGCAGTCACCACTGCAATGCCTCCCAGCTCAGGTCACAGGGGCTGACCTCCGACTCACCCCCCTCTGGAATTCCTGACAGCCAATCCGCCATTATTTTCTCATAGCAGGGCAGCTACCACATACAGCACCTACCAAAGTGCCTGGCACACCACAGGTGAACAATAAATAGCAGCGATTGCTCTTTTCTGTTTGAAAGATTTTATTATTTATTTATTTGAGATTTGATAGAGAGCGAGCCCGGGAGCAGGCGGAAGAGGCAGAGGGAGAGGGAGAAGCAGACTCCCCGCTGGGAGCCCGATGAGACCTGGGGCTCAGGCCTTGATCCCAGTGATGAGGGAGCAAGAGGCAGGAGGAGGACAAAGCACAGGCTGACAGCCCGCAACCTCTCCCCCCTTCCCCCTACTCCTGGGTGGGGTATGTGACATTCCTCCAGGAAACTTCTAACTATCTTAACGTTGGTGCTTTGCTAGCGGGAAGAACAACCTCAGCTTGATAACAGCCAGGCTTCCAGTATCCTGAGGGCCTTCTTAGCATATGAACGTCCCTTTAGACCCCTCCTTCTGTTCTTCCCTCCCCAACCCTGTCGTATATGTCAGCCATTCCTCACAGCCCCAGCGCAGCTCCTCTTTCTGCCCATGGATTCTGTCCCTGTGCTTTAATAAAATCACCTTAAAAGAATTTTTTCTAGGCCGTCAGCTCCTGACCTCACCGCCATTCCAAAACCACATCCCCAGGACCCTGGGATCATGACCTGAGCCTAAGGCAGACGCTTCACTGGCTGAGCCGCCCAGGCGCCCCTTACTGCCAATGTCCAGTCAAACCTCATGAGCCGCCCAGGCGCCCTTCCT